CAACATGGTTCACTAAGGGAAAATCTTGCCTTACAAATCTTTTGACATTCTTTGAAAAGGTTACTGCTAATGTAGATGAGGGTAAAGGGTATAGATTTGGTGTAACTGTATTTTCAAAAAGCATATGACAAGGTGCCACATAAAAGGCTTGTAAAAAACTATATCTATAGGTGTGGGGGATGAGTTAGCAAATTGGATAGAAAAGTGGCTGGATGTAAGAAAGCAGAGAGTTGTTACAAATGAAATTCAATCAAAGCAGGGTACATCGGGGCTCAGTCTTAGGACCTTTGCACTTTTTGATTTACATCAATGACATAGATGAAGGAATAATGAATAAATTACTTAAATTTGCTGATTATATTAAGGTCTTGTGATATTAGCTGTGAAGAGGATGCTGCTGATTTACAAAAGGATTTAGATCATTTAGTGAGTTGGACAATAAATGGCAAATGAGTTTTAATTATAATAAATGCAAGATAATGTATGTGGGTTATCATAATTTGAATTGTAAGTATAATTTGGGTGGTAATAACCTTAACAGTGTCACGAAAGAAAAATATATTGTTGTAATAGTTTATCAGTCTCTAAAGCCATCCAAGCAATATGCTGTTGCTAGTGGTAGGGCAAATAGAATTTTAGGTTGTATCTACAGAAATATTGAAAACAAATCTAAAGAGCCTATAATTTCCTAGTATAGGTCAGTGGTTTGGCCACATTTTGAATATTATGTTCAATCTTGGGCTCCTTACCTTAAGAAAGACATTGAATTATTATAAAGAGTTAGTAGAATGGTGCCTGGGAAGAAGGAGTTGTCATAAGAGGATATGTTGAAATCTCTCAAACTGTTTTCACTTGAAAAAAGAAGAGTTAGGGGGATATGATTGAGGTGTTTAAGATTGTAAAGGATATTGATACATTATATTTTTTCATACTTAACAGTGAGAATACTAGTACTAGGGGACACAAGTATAAATTTTGGCAGCTTATGTGTCATCTCCAGCTAAGACAGTTTTATTTTTCTAACAAGGTGATTAGCCATTGGAATGGATTGCCATCGGATATTGTGGAGGCAGTACATTTAAGTGAGTTTAAGAGAAAGCTTGATAACTATATGAATGGTAAGGGCTGGCTTAAAAATTTTACCTTCCTCTTTTCTAAAACAATTATTTATCAATAGGTTTAGTTTAGAGGATGGAACAACCAAGATGGACTAATAGGTCCCATGTTGTCCCAAAACGTTATGTTATGTTTGATAACTTGAAACCATGATTGTTAATACGTGAAGGTGATGTGGTTTGTATGTTTGATAACCACCACGTTTTTTACGATTGTTTGTATGTGAGGATAGTGTGGTTTATGACTGATAACTGGACATAACGTTTTTTATTATTGTTAGTATAAGAGGATAATGTATTTCATATGTCTGATAACTTCATACTACAATGATTGTTAATATATGAGGGTAGTGTGGTTTATAAGTCTGATAACTTGAAACCATGATGATTGTTAGATATGTGAGAGTAGTGTTTTTTTATGACTGGCATATCTTAAATCGTGAATTATTTTGTGGTATTTATTTA